AGGAAGACCCTTGCTCCCACCCTGGCCTGGACCAGGGCTGACTGCCTGAATGATGCAAATTCCTCACAGTGTGTTGTCTTTCTACACAAGGACAATTGTCCCTAAGGTTACATTAATGATGGCTCCTAATTGTTAGGTGTTTCCTGACAGGTTGGTTGTTAAGCACATGCTGTGCCTGACACCACAGAACAGAGCAATTTAAGGATCACAACAAGGAAACAGAACAGGGTTCAACCTCCAGGTGTGGCGAGAGAAAAAGGCCAAGTGGGTGCTCCCATGGGCTTTTTGGTACCCCAAAGTCACGCCCAACCTAGTTCAGCCTCTCAAAGGCCATTGGCTGAAGGAGTTTCCCCATCACCTCCCCCTTTTGTCTAAATAAGAGAGTTCTAAACCCAAAACAAAACTATATACAATAAGAACAGATATCAAGTATAAAAATTAGAACTACAACCAGTATAAACAATATTTAGCAAGAAACATATGTTAAATGTTTCAATAATTATTCTGTCCTAAGGAGTCTAAGTCTTGTATTAGAAATGGCTTGGCTAAAGCGAAGGGCACAAATATTCGGGCCAGGAGGACATTCCTGGGGGGCCTTGCCAAGTCAGCGGTTGAGTGTTCGCCATCTTAGGAGGATGTTCTTGTCCGTGGGCATCTGGCCCCTGGTGAACCCCTTCAACGCTGCACCTGCAGCTGGTGCATGATGGCCTTACGGGTCCCCGTAGCGTCCCCCACCCCACCCCCCGGGCCTGCCCCGGCATTCCCACCACCTGGCCGCCAGCGCTGTGGAAGAGTACAGTTGTGAATTTGGCTCCATGAAGTATTATGCACCGTGTGGCTTTGATGGGGTCTTAAGTTGTGGGCTGATACCCACTGCTGTTGTTCCCCTGGATTTAGTAAAATGCCGCATGCAGGTGGACCCTAAGAAGGACAAGGGCATATTCAATGACTAGTCCATTACCCTGAGAGAAGATAGTGTTTGTGGTTTGGCTAAAGGATGGCCCCCAACTTTTATTGGCCTTTCCATGCAAGGTTCTGCAAATGTGTGTCTCCTCTGTGGATGAGGCAGATCCCATACACCACGATGAAGTTTGCCTGCTTTGAACATATTGTTGAAGCATTGTGCAGATTTGTGGTTCCTAAGTGAACGTACAAAGGCAGAGCAGCTGGTTGTGACATTTGTGGCAGGTTACATAGCTGGAGTCTTCTGTGCAATTGTTCCTCACCCTGCTGATTCTGTAGTCTCTGTACTGAGTAAAGAGAAGGGGAACACTGGTCCCCAGGTCCTGCAGAGACTGGCCTTCAGAGGTGTGTGGAAGGGCCTCTTTGCCCAAACATCATGATTGGCACTCTGACTGCACTATAGTGGTTCATCTATGACTCGGTGAAGGTCTACTTCAGGCTCCCTCGCCCTCCTCCACCTGAGATGCCAGAGTCTCTAAAGAAGCTTGAGTTAATTGAGTACATAGTACATCAGAGAAATATGGACTGAATCTGCTTGTTGATCAGTGTTGAAGAAAGTGCAAAGGAACTTTTATATATTTGACAATGTAGGAAATTGTGGGTTCCTGATATAATTACTGTAGTACCCTTGCTTAAAGCAAGAGTTTCAAACTTACTGCTAAATAAACCCATCCACTCAAGAAAAAAAAAAAAAGAAAGAAATGGCTTGGCTAGATCATAAGAGGAAGGTAACTATGACTTCAACCCTACTGGAGGCCTGAAAAGGAAGATTATATTACTTGAGTAGGCAGGAAATGCAATCAAGCAACTTCTAAAATGTGCAGTAGATGACAGAGACAACTGGCTACCTGAGCAATCACCCAAAGTCTCATTTGTAACACTGGAACAGCCAACTTTGGCTAAGGCCTAGAGTTTCAGAGGCAGGAAGATTTTCAAAACCATCTTACCCTGTCTTGGCAAGGTTTGGCAGTCTTTTTGCTTGTATCCTGCTTGTCCAGTTCAGATGAGATGCATTTTGTCAGTGATCAAGGCAGGGGCAGTTCTTGCCCAAAGGCTGGTTTTGCCAAGAAGAAAACAAGCTCCAAGTGGAGTGTCTTTGATGCTCAACATTCTCTTGGGAATAGATTGGTGCTGTCAGGAGCAATCATGTCTCATGCCAACAGAACCCTAAGTTATTTAAATGACATATTCCACAGTTCTTTGAAGTGGCTGAAGATTACCTATCTATGCAGAATACAGTCTCTATGCATCTAATCTGTAGGTGGAAGCTGTCCATTTCCTGGCAGCTCAGATGTAAAATAATCACACAGAAACTATGCTATTTGTAATGCTGCTTGACCAAAAGCTTAAGCATATTTCCAGCTATCTCTTACATCTTAAATTAACCCATTCCTAATATTTTGCATTTTACCACAAGGCTCGCAGTTTACAGGCAAGGTTACATACAGCACATCTGTCTCCTGCAGCGGCTACATGCTGCCATCAACTAACTTCAGCATGCTGCCTACGAACCTCATTCGTGCGCTCAGCCTCCTGAGAGAGCCAGAGCTGTTCATACAGCTAGCATGAACCAGGAAGCTGCCATTTCTTAAAGAAGTCATGTGGGGGTTTTTGCTGCTAAAGCTGAATCTGGAAGACCTCTCTTAAAGGATTCATGGTGCTCCTGCTTGTTGCCAACTAACAGAGGCCATCTGAAAAAAGATGCCAGCTATCAAGAAGCCCTGCTTAAGTCTGTGCTTTTGTGTCTAGACTTCCTTTCCACGCTCGCTCAGGTTTTATGTGGATGTAGTGAGTTCCACGTTGGTGTGCCAGTTCTGGAACATCTTTGAGCCTGCTATTCCCATGGATCCCATCTCACCAGGAATGGCCATGCAGGCTTTTAGAAACAGTCATGTTCCCTTTGTGCATCAACTGCCAGATCCGTTCTCAGTACTGTGTCTCTGTCGGCTCTAGTTCACTGTGAGCATCCACGAGTTCTGCCACACACGTTCACCAGGATGGGAAAGAGGGAGTGTAATGGTTTAAGTAAAATGCTGCAGGCTCCCCAAGGGGTGCAGCGACAGAAACGTTGCAGGTCCACGAGCAGCAGCAGGCAATGGGCAGTGGGTCTTAAGACCACGGCAGGCCATGAAGGCAGCCAGGTCCCAGGCAGAGAGCCCCCAAGTAGCCAGCGGGGCACAAGGGACAGTGAGTCCCAGGCAGGGAGCCATGCAGCAGGTAAGAGACAGAGACATGGATAGGCATGCCATGCAGAGTGAGGTTGGATATTTATTTAGTCTCTTATGGAAGGGAGGGTGAAGGGGGGGAGAGCAAAGAGAGTGCCAGAGAGAGAGAGAGAGAGAAACACAGAGAAAAAGAGAGAGAGACAGAGAGAGAAACAGAGTGGGGGAAGGGGAGAAGTAGGGAGAAGAAAGAGACAGAAGCTGCCACTTGGAGAGAGAGATGGAAAAGAAGGGACTCAGGCAGGAAGCTGAAATTTGGCTTGCCTTGGCAGACAAGGGAGGGAGTGGGTGTGGCTTGTCTCTTAAAGAGACAGGACAGATCATTACATTCCCATCTCTTTTTTATAATAAAAAGGCAGGAGGTTAGGCACAACAGGTTAAAGAAATTGGGCTGCGGATTCTCAAGACTGCTTCCTGCTTATTTGTAGGTGTCGTTTTTGGGGGAGCCTGAGAAAGCTGGGTGCTGGTCACATTCTGGGGTAGCTGGTCTCTTTGTTCCTGTCTGGTGTTTGTGGTATGGAAATGTCTTGTGTCCTTATACCTGATTAAAATATTGGCAGAACAGAGGACAAAGTTAAGTTTAGGGAAAAAAGTTAGGAACAGGGAATTGAGAGGGTTGTATCCTTTCATTCGGCTCCCTGGAGCTTCTAAGAATTCTTTGGGTTTGTGAAAACAGAAGCTTTAGACAGCAGCAGAATGACTGTGACAAATGTTTTTGCACAATTGAAAAGTATCTTTAAGCCTATGAAAGGCAGCTGAGAGAGAAATCTGATAACTTGTATTTGTCCTCACTCCTTTATAACTTGCACCTTATAACTTGGACTTTATAACACATCTTAATAACTTGTGTTTGTATTTGTTGAAATTTGTTTGGTGAGGTTGTTCTTATAAATGACAAAACCTCTCAGCTGTCAAACTGCATCAGAGATCTTTGAGAAGGAAAAAATTTTGAGTTATTGAATAAAAAATGACAGAGAACTTATTTGGTTGACACCTAGAGCTATTCCTCAGGGTTCTCCATGGTCACTGAGGGTCCTATTTGCCTTTTACTATTTAGTTCAGGGCCTGCTGGGCTCCAGAAGATTCTGTGGGCTAAGAAATTTGCAGGAAGACAAGCCTACCTTGACCTGAGCAGCTAGGCTGTTGATTCCAGCGATTCTGTCCACTGTCTGGTGATTTTCACTTTAGATAAAAGGCAGTTTTTCCCAGTGGTCAGTACTTGGCAGTTGAAACGAAGTGTAGATAGATGTTCTATGCCCATTTGTCTTCTGTCTTTTTGGGAGGAAACAGAGTGCTGCTGCTAGGAGCCAACCTGTCTCTTTTTGTTATGAAAAGTCTTTTATTTAATTGACATATTCTCCAGATCTTTGAGCAATTAAGGGCTCTTTATCAGGTACAGCTACAGTATAGAATCTTCCTGGAGAGCTGGGTCCAATCTTGACTGTACTGGCTCTCAACTTAACAGGTAAAGCAGGGTTGGATTAATTATACCATATTTCTGTAAGAGAGTTAAAAGTACATACCAATTTAAAACATGAGACTTATTGCTTTGTAGTCTGGAATGAGATACAATGAACAGACAATTATAACATTTAACAGTAAACATAGGTGCATTTAAGTTACATGTATGAACACACGCACACTGAATGAACAGAATTGGGTGAAATGGATGTTCTTGGTGGGTCCTACCAAAGGCATGCCACTGCACAAAACACACATGCAACAGAGTCAACAAGAGGAATTTAGAGACAAAAACATAAATAAACTGGGACCAGGGAGGGAATACCTCAGTAAAGATGACAGAATTTGGCCACCTGACCTGGCTCTCAGTTAAGATGGTGGTAAGGTCACCTGACCTCAGTCAAAATGGCAGAAGTTACACGTTGTATAGAAAAGAGACCTAGAGGTGTGATCTGCCCTGTTGCTGAGCCGCCATACCGCAAGCCATGGCAGGAAGCAAATGGCTAGAATTGAAAACAGCTGCCTTGTAGATCCAACCAATTTTGTTGACAGCAGTAGCGGTAGCAGGGACAGTTTGAGGAAAAGTGGAGCCAGTGGAGCCGGCAGGACACTGATGGAGTGAGGGTTTATACCATAGCCGAAAACATGAGATCTGTGAAAACGGTGACACCACAAGGTTTATGGGGGGGGAATGTCTCTCCTCTATAGGTGGGGTATGAAAAGGTGGCGAATACTGCAGGGTTTGTAGAAGAGCGCCCTCTATCTACAGGCAGGGTGTTAAAACCTGACTGACTCCAGTCTGGGTGACTCGGAAGCCAGAGAGGCTAGAGGCCACTCTGAGCGGTCTCTCAAGAATGCACCACACAGCGTGTGCAGTGCTAGCATGGGAGGACTGACCCCGAGGCCATCTGGTCATGTTTTTAGCTATAGAAAGCAGTGAAGGGCTCAACCATAGCCATGAAGGCTGTGGTTGGAGGCTGGAAGGGGGAAAACTCACCACTGAAGCTGCTGGTGTGTGTAGAGGTCAGCACTCAGGCAGATAGAACATGTGGTTGTTCTGGAGAAAATACCTGGTTCCAGGTCCCGACCCTGAGAGAGAGGCAGGAGGGCCTACCGAGTCCAATGGCACCAAAGTAATGGTTTAAGTAAAATGTTACAGATTCCCCGAGGGGCACAGCGGCAGAAATGCTGCAGGTCCCCGAGTGGCAGCAATGGGCAGCAGGCCATGAGACCATGTCACAGGTCCCTGAGTGGCGGCAACCAGAGGGCAGTGGGTCCTGAGACCACGGCAGACCATGAAGGCAACCAGGTCCCAGGCAGGGAGCCACGTGGTGGGTGAAAGACCGAGACGGATGGACATGCCATAAGACCATGCTGCAGGTCTCCAAAGGCAGCTGGTCCTTGGCAGGGAGTCACGCAGTGGGCGAGAGACAGAGACATGGATAGGCACACCATGCAGAGTGAAGTTGGATATTTATTTAGTCTCTTATGGAAGGGAGGGTGAAGGGGGGAGAGCAAAGAGAGTGTCAGAGAGAGAGAGAGAGAGAGAGAGAGAGAGAGAGAGAGAGAGAGAAACACAGAGAAAAAGAGAGAGACAGAGAGACAGAGAGAGACACACACAGAGAGAAACAGAGAAGGGGAAAGGGGAGAAGTGGGGAGAAGGGAGAGAGAGAAGCTACCTCTTTGAGAGGGACAGGAAAGGAGGGGACTCAGGCTGAAAGTTGAAGATTAGTTTGCCTTAGCGGATGGGGGAGTGGGCATGGATTGTCTCTTAAAGGGACAGGACAGACAATTATAAGGAGTGAAAGAAAATACTACCCCACGCCTTTGCCTTCCAGATGGTGAGGACTTGACAGTCTATTCTCTGACTGACTCAATGATGTCCCTCAGGCCTACGAAATACCCACAGTGGTGTATAGATGGGCCATAGGTGCAAAGGGATTCCAGTTACAGACTGGATCTGCGCTCACCTGTGCCAGGTCCAGCAGGAAACTAGAAATGCATGGAAGTCCCTGGGGCTGCAGTCATCGTTCTTCATCAGACAGTCATCACTCTGCGACACAGTGACACAACGCTTAGGACCAACAACCTCCAGGAAGGCTCATGGTTCTAGAGGTTTCGGGCCACAGTTACCTGGAACCACTGTTCTGGGCTATGATGAGGAAGACCATCCTGGTAGAGAGCATGGGGATAGCAGGGCATCCCACTTCGTGGTGGCTGGGAAGCAGAGAGTGAGGAGGGACCCCAGACATGGTATATCATTTACAGGCATGTTACCAATAAAAACCTCACTTCTTTCAAATAGCATCAGATTATGCATCTATCAGTTGATAAATCCATCCATTAGGTCATCTGTCACATGATCCAATACTTGCTGAAAGCTGCACCTCTGAATATTGCTACGGGGATGAAGTCTTCAAGGCATGCATTTTAGGGAAAATTTTCGTAGCTAAGTTCTTAAAACCTCCACCCTGCAGGAAAAGGAGAATTGTGCCCTGTCCAGATGATGAGACAATGTTCTTATATCTTAGAATCTCATGACCGTACTGCCGTGCTTGGCTGTCACCAGGTCTTTGCCAGCTACAGCCACAGTTGTTTGCCTGTGCATGCCCCTGGCTGGTGAGCATCTGGGCTTAAAGAAGTTTGAAGAAGCTGCCAGCTGAAGCTATTCCTCTGGATACTTACAAGAGCTCCTCTGCTGTGAAGGTCCTGAGAAGCAATGTTGTGAAACAGCTCAGCTCTTTGCAAACCTTCTTACTTGTGGAAACAGCAGGAATTCTGTAGGAAGTGCTGAGCAAGACCCATCATGCAGAGGAGAGAGGTCTGGAAGGCAAGGGACAATCACCTGAGAGGAGGCCCCTCCAACATCTCTGCAGCCTGTCCTCTTTGTTTTTGTTCAGTTCTTCATTACCCATTTCTTCTAGATAAAAAGCTGAAATTAGTCATTTACTTAAAGCACTGCTTGCTTATACTGCATGACTTCCCCTCTGCATGGAACAGAATGACCTGGAGAAACAGCTGAAACAACCTGCCCACTGCCATGCAGGCTTCTGAAAAATCTTGCTTGCTTGCCTGCCCCACCTTGTGGTTGAGAATATAAAATGAGAGTACCAACTTGACCCAGGCTTGATGGCTTCCGGGAGCTGTACTGGGTCCCCTCTAAAGGTGAAATCTCTCCTCTGCTCTCATGGGTGTCAGTGCTTTTTCCAGAAAGATTCCTGGAACACCACCACATGGGGAACCCTTGGTGACCAAAGGAAACAAGCCAAGAGGGTCCTGACAGAGTCAGGAGCTGGGAGATCAGGCTCTTGATTTTCTGAGAAGAATTATCACTCCGTTCAAAGCCACCCATGCTGAAGGGTCACCCTGGCATCTGGAGAAAAATTGACTCACAGGCTGCAATCACCAGAGTTGTTTGTCCCTCTGTGTGTTTTATTCTATGTGAAGATAAGGGGACACAGGACACATTCACTTCCTCCCCAACCTTTAGCATAGGAACAGAATTTGAGAGACTCTTAGTTCCCATTCTCCTGAATTTTTAACAGGATGAATGTTTCTATTACAACTCTAGAGAGTTGTGCTTTCCCGCCACCTAGCCTGGAGGTGATTCATCCACCAACCACCTTAGTGAGAAGATTGCTTTGCCCATCCCCAGAATTTTGATTCAAAAGAAATCTGACAGTTCCCCATCCCAGTTCTGGGCCTGGATGAAGCAGAGCCTCGGAGCAGTGTGAGTGTGGTGGCACAGGTGTGCCTGCTGGACTTACTCGTTCTCAAACTCAACCTCATATTATAATAACTTGAGCAGTTCAGGCTCAGGGTGAACCCCAAGTCAACCAGAGCACAGTCCGGAGGATGCATACCTTATCTCTGCTTTGTGAAGCTCAGGTGGTTCTGTGGACAGTCTGGTTTGGATAGATTAGAGAATAATTCACTCCTATTGAGAAGATGCTTCCATAATATCTGGCGGCAGGCAAGCCTATAAGGCATTTTCTTAATTAATATGAGAGGGATATAGGGATAATACCACCCTATACAGGTGATCTGGAGTGTCATAGAAAAGTCCAACTGAGCATGCCATGGTGGGCAAACCAGTAAGCAGCACCCCTCCATGGCCTTACCATCAGCTCCTGCCTGGTTTGGGTTCCTGCCCTAACCTCTTTCAGTGATGGACTGCAATGTGTGAGGGTAAGCCAAATAAATCCTTTCTTCCCCAAGTTGTTTTGGCCATGGTGCATATCACTGCAATAGAAACCCTGACTAAGATGTTCACCTTAATGGAACATTCTAATTTCTAGTGGCTGCGTAGGGAAACTAACTAAAAAGGATCTGGCATAATGTTGTCACTGCAGGTGTTCCTGCAGCTGGGTGGCTGGAGCAAGCAAGCTTGACCTTGTGGGGTGCTCCTGCAGCTGGATGGCTGGAGCAAGCATGCTTGTTTGCCCTTGCAGCAGAGGGGCAGGGACAGGAGAGTCACATGACTTAGGAGGTGTGTCCCAAACCAGGTTCCAAGACCTTGTCTTTACTGAGTTTCCACTTCTTTTGAGTTTACCTGGCCTGGTGGCCTCAGCCTGTTGCCTGTCCCAACCCTCTGGTGGTACAGGGACAGTTACTCCTCTGTTTTCCCTTGGTGTCTCTCACAGTTTACAGCTTAAGCTTCCCCTCTGGGATGCTCTCCCAGTCCTGTCCCAGGAATGGCTTGCTACCTGTGATGCTAGACCCCTAGGGTATTTACTCCCTCAGTCTCTCAGGCATCTAGCCACTTCTCAATCCAACACACTCCCTTGTTCAAATTCTACCCAGTTTTCATTTGACCCAATGTCCTACCCTAGTGCTCTGTGTGGCATAAATATCATGTCTCCTCTGTCTACTCTCACTCATACAGAGTGTATCCCCTCAAAGCAAGCAGTGAGCACTCATGCCTTCCTTCAATGGGCAGCACCATTTCTCTCTGGTCCATGGCCATTTGTACTTCCTTAGTGGCTCCCTACTTGCTGGCTCACACAGACAGAGAACACACTATCCTGACTGTAATGATTGTTCTGTCTCTTTAAGAGACAAGCCACACCTACTCCCTCCCCTATCCACTGAGGCAGGCTGATCTTCAACTTCTGTCCTGAGCTTGCTCTCTCTTTTCTGCCTTCCTCTCAGAGAGGCAGTTTCTCCCTCTCTCTCCCCACTTTTCCCCTTTCCCCGCTTCTCTCTCTCTCTCTCTCTCTCTCTCTCTCTCTCTCTCTCTCTCTTCTCTTCCCCCTTCCCCCTCCATAACCCCTTGAATAAATATCCAACCTCACCACCCTGCATCGCATGCCTATCCATTTATCTGTCTCTCTCACCTGCCTGCCGCCATGACCTGGAGATCTGCCACGTGGTCTCGTGCGCTGTCCCTGCTTGGGACTGTCTGCTTTCTGCAGCAAGCTGCTGAGGAAACTTGCAGCAAATCCATTACATTTGGTGCTGTGACTTGGATAGGCTCTCCTTCCTCAAATCTCTCTCCCAGGGTTGGGATCCTGAACCAGGTACTTTTTTTCACAACCACATGTTCCATATGCCTGAGTGAGATTTCTACAATGTAATTTCTTATACCACCAGCTTTAATTGGTGAGTTTCTCCCATTCTACTATGGTTGCTTCCCTCAGCTCGTGTCCCGCCACTTTTATGGGAGCTTTCTAGCTACTATCAGTGGGAGCTTTTTAACACTGTCAGCGCACAGGCAAATGGACCCTGGCATGGTTACTGCTGCCAACAAGACTGGTCAGATCCATGAGGCGTCTTTTTTCAATTCCAGCATTTTGCTCCCCTCTGAGGCTTGTGGTGTGGAGTGGTGGCTCAGCACTACTACCTCAGCACTAGACCACGCCTCTAGGTCTCTCTTATTAAGCTTAAAATTCCTGTAGCTCAAAAACTTTGACTTTTCCATACAACATGTGACTGCTGCCAGTTTGACTGAGGACATGTGACCTCACCATCATCTTAGCTGAAGTCAAGTGACTTCACCGCCATCTCAACTGAGTGTCTTTTCCATACAACATGCGACTGCCACCATTTTTATTGGGGTCAGGTGATTTTGTCGCCATCTCGGCTGAGAGCCAGGTCAGGTGACCAAGTTCTGCCATCTTTCCTGAGGTGTTCCCTGCCTGATTCCCCAGTGTTAACTCTATTGCATGGGTGACCTTACCGCCATCTTGACTGAGAGCCAGGTCAGATGACCAAGTTCTTTCATCCTTACTGAAGTACACCCTGCCTTGTCCCCTGGTTTACTTATGGTTTTTTTTTTTTCACTAAATTCCTTTTGTTGACTCTGCTGCATGCGTGTTTTGTGCAGTAGCATGCCTTTGGTCCACCAAGAGCATCCACTTTGTCCGATTCCTGTTCACTTTCTCTGTGTGTCTTTATACATGTAACTTAAATGCACCTATGCTTAATGTTATAATTGCTCATTGCATCTCATTTCAGACTACAAAAGCAATAAGTCTCATGTTTTAAACTGGTATGTACTTTTAAGTCTCTTACAAAATACTTCCTATTTAATGCATTAAGCTGTTCTCTACTATTTTCAGTTCTGCCATTAACCTTATATTGCAAGCAGTTTTTCTTCTTTCTGTCTTTTTATGAGTGTTAATCTTACCTGTTAAGAGCCAGTACAGTCAAGCTCAGATCCAGCTCTCCAGGCAGAGTCTATACTGTAGTTATATCTGATAAACAGCCCTCAACTGCTCAGAGATCGAGGAAATACAGCATTTAAATATTTAATTATTAAAAACTTTTCATAACAAAGAGACAGGTTGGCCCCTAGCAGCAGTACTCTATTTCCTCCAAGGAAGACAGAAGACAAATGGGCACACAACAACGTCCATCTGCAATTCGCTTCAACTGCCAAGTGCTGATCATTGGGCAAAATTGCCTTCCATCTAAACTAAAGATCTCCAGACATGGACAGAATCGCTGGAATCGACAGCCTATCTGCTCAGGTCAAGGTAGGCTTGTCTTCCTAGAGATTTCTTAGCCCACAGCATCTTCTGGAGCCTGGCAGGCCCTGCACTAAACAGCAAAAGGCAAATGCAACCTTCAACAACCATGAAGGACCCTGAAGACTAGCTCTGGGTGCCAACCAAGTAAGTTCTCTATCATTTTTTAATCAGTAACTCAAGTAAAATCTTATCCTTCTCAAAGATCTCTGATACAGTTTGACAGCTGAGAGGTTTTGTCAGTTTAAAAGGACAACCTCGCCAAACAAATTTCAGTAAAATACAAATACAAGACCTGCAAGTTATAAAGGTATGAGGACAAATACAAGTTATCAAACTTCTCTCTCATGCTGCTTTCCATAGTCTTAAAAATACTTTTCATTGTACAAAAATATTTCACAGTCATTATGCAATGTATGTGTCTAAAACTTCTGTTTTCACAAACCCAAAGAATTCTTGTGAGTTCCAGGGAACCGAATTGAAGGATTCCCCTTAAACAGGTCAGATACATCCCCCTCAATTCCCTGGTCCTAAATTATTTTTCCTTAATTTAACTTTGTCTTCTGTTCTGCTAATACCTTAAACAGGTGTAAGAAACACCAGACATTTCCATACCACAAACACCAGACAGGAGCAAAGAGACCAGCTATGCCAGGATGTGACCAGCACCCAGCCTTCTCAGGTTCCTCACAAAGACGACGCCCACAAATAAGCAGGAAGAAGTCTTAAGAATCTACTGCCCCAATTCCTTCAACCTGTGGTGCCGAACCTCCTGCTTTATTATAAAAAAAGAGATGGGAATGTAATGATTGTTCTGTCTCTTTAAGAGCCAAGCCATGCCCACTCCCTCCCCTATCCGCTGAGGCAGGCTGATCTTCAGCTTCCAGCCTGAGCTTGCTCTCTCTTTTCCATCTTCCTCTGGAGAGGCAGCTTCTGCCTCTCTCTCCCCACTTCTCCCCTTCCCCCACTTCTGTTTCTCTCTCTCTCTCTCTCTCCTCTCTCTCTTTCTCTTCTCTCTCTCTCTCTCTCTCTCTCTCTGCTCTTCTCCCCCTTTCCCTTCCCCCTCCATAACCCCGTGAATAAATATCCAACCTCACTCTGTATGGTGTGCCTATCCATGTATCCGTCTCTCTTGCTTGCCCGTCGCTGTGACCTGGAGACCTGCTGCATGGTCTCATGTGCTATCCTTGCTTGGGACTGGCTGCTTTCCACAGCAAGCTGCCAGGGAGCTTGCAGTAAATCCATTACACTGACCCCTGCTTAGCTTTTTCCAGGGAGGTGCTGGAAGGCCCTGACCGCATCTCAAGGGTTGCTAGGTACAAAGGCTGGATGAGACTTACCTGTCTGTGTAGCTTGTCTTTCCACACAAATCAAAATGGAAGGGACCAAAAGCTGAAAGTCTCACAGGTAATCAGAACTCTCTGCTACTTGTTTCTCAGCCGCACGGACTCAAACATGAAGGCGTGATGGATCCTGCTCTGAGGGACCTACACCTGAATTTACATGGAGAGCCTCCTCAGGTGTTGTGGTAGTGGCGGCTCCATCTTGATATGAAGATTCTTTCGGTTTCATGAATTTTGTTTGCAAATACTTAGAAAGACACAAACTGGGGCACATTCTGCTGTACATTCATCCCATAATATTTTTCAAAGGGAAAGAGTATAGGTTAAAAAAATGTAAAACTGAGAGCATTCAGTTAATAACATTATCTGTGTGAATGGCTGATGTCAGGGCTGTCCCAGGCCATCTCCTCCGCAAAGGACATGCCCTTAGCACCCCTCTAACCTGTTCACAAGAACAGATCTGCTCCCAAGGGTCACCACATTAAAAACCGCTGTAACTGCACAGGCCCCACCCACAGCTGAAACAGGTGGCTGTCCCTGGCCCTGGCCTCTGCTTCCCTTCTGCCTGGCCCCTCCTCCACTTCCCCCAGGTGCCGCCCTGTATATTGACTTTTAAGGTCCTCACCCAAACTAAAGTCATTTCCTCTTCTGGTCCCACCCATCCTTCCCGCAGCTGAGAGTTAGCTCTCAGATTTCCGGTGAGGAAGTGCAAGTTTACGTTTGTTTGAGGGGAGGCGAGGAGGGAAAGGAGGGGCTTTATTATCTGAGCTGTGACCTTTATGGGTGTGTCTCCCTCCAGTCTGTCAGTACACAGACTTCCGGAGGACAGGCACTCTTGCCTACCCAGCACCCACGTGGCAGGGACAGTGGAAATCGGGGGCATTTGAATAACCGCACCCTCTCTTTGTCCTTCTGCTGTCACAGGACCCCCTTCTTTCAAAATGAGAAGTTCCCTTTGAAATGCAGACCCAGTGGGGAATCTGAACCTTAGTCCTAACAAAATGAGAAGACTGGAAACTTAAGTTCTTTGAAGGCCTGGCAGCTGCTTCACTGAAGATACATCTTATAGGTGGTGGTTCTAAGGGCGTCCCTAAGAGGAGATCAGTGCTGACTGAGGCAACCTGGATACAGGGAAATACAGACTTGTGCTGCGCTTTGGTCCTGACCACTAAAGCCCCTGTTCCTAATCACAGGCCATTAGCGGCTCTCTCCTGAGCCAGCAAACACTGGGAACAGGGGAGGTTGAGAAGGGACCCAGAGACTAGGTAAGACAGCCTAATATTTTGTAGAGGAAAAATTCCAAGTGGACGAGAGTTGAGTGACTTGAAAGAGCAGTTACCAAGTCTGGGTTTGGATGATTTCTCAGTTGCTAAGTGTATCCGCCTTTCTTTGTTGAGCACGAAAAATTGCAGCAGGCAATAGCGACACCTGCTGTTCAGAGCTGCTCTGACCAGACAAGGAGCTCCGGCCCTCACAGTGTTTCCACAGAAACCAGGCGCTGCAGTCCGGGTTATCTTCCTACGTGGTATTGGGGTATTTTATTTTTAAGACAGAGCAAGCACATCAGGCGCTTTCTTCGCTACTCATATATGCTGGCTAGTAGTCACCATAGCATTCTCGGACCAAATGGTACAGACTAGAGGGACCCACAGCTCCCTCAGGCGCAGGGACAGGACTTAAACATTCTTGAGTACCAGATTCCGCTAAACCTCTGCTAGCAACAGTCATTAACAGCTCCTTTTAATTTTAATTTTTCCTTACATTAGCTAAGATCGGGTGCCAGGGAAGCTTTGCTCCCTGGTTAACAACTGTTAGATGCTTCCATTACACTTCAGGTACCTTGAGTGAGAAGTTGTCAGTGGCTTTGACTTCAGCAGCTGCTGCTTCCTTCAGTCTGTGCCGGGCACTTCACTGTCAAAAGTCTCTGTGCACTCTAAGTGACTCTGCAGCCTTCTTGCTGCAGCCAGAGAGGGTGCATCCCTCTGAGTGGCCCCGGAGAAGACCCTTGATCAGTTCAAATAGAGTCATTTGCATGAAGCACTCGGCTGTGGTTGGAGCAAACACCCTTGATACAATAGTAGGGTTTTCCGTTTGCTTTTGGAGTTCCTTGGGAGACATCTCCTATGCCTCCCAGCCATTGAAACATTAGGTCCAATAAAAGGCTTCTGTGGGGTGTCCCCCAAGCCTGCCTTTTGTTATTAGAGCATGCTGATGTGGTAACACAAGAGAATACAGTGAGGGTGGCACCTGAGAGGCGGGGGAGATGGCTCAGCGGTTAAGAGCACTGACTGCTCTCCTAGAAGACCTGGGTTCAATTCTTAGTACTTACAAGGCTCATAACTGTAAGTCCAGATCCAGGGGATCTGACACCCTCTTCTGTGTTTCACAGGTAGCAGACACACATGTCATGCACAGACATACATGGAGTCAAATACATATACACATGAAATAACAAAAGTTATTTTTTAAAAGAAGGTAACTGAAGAATTTGAGAGAGCAGCCAGAACAGATGTGATGGGAGTAGGGTCTTCAGAGACAACAGGAGACGGCAGAAGTAGAGGAGGGGTGAATACAGGCAGAAAGCAAGAAGACAAAAGAATATGAAGAGCCAGAGAAGACAACTGTGAGACCCAGTTGTTGGGAGAATTCCAAGGAGCTGTCAAATCCTAGTGTTCAGTGGTCTCAGATTCTGGCTACAGGGGAGGGGTAACGCTTGTTGCTGTGTGGCTCTGTGCTAGCACCCACGCCTGTCCAGGAGCCGTAGAGTTCTAGCAGGTGTCACCTGCTGCTGCTTGCTGCTTCTGCTCATTACAATTAGCCACCGAATGTTGAGGTTGCTGGAGATTATAGCCCGGAACAAGGGCTCCAGTCTCAGTCTTTAAAGCTGTGTCTCTGACTTCTGAGCATGAAGCAACAGGGTCTGATCTCCCAGTATTTGGTGTTACAATCCTCTGGATCTGCCACTTTGGTTCACAGGTTCATTTATAGGCCCATGGTAGCCAATGTTGGAAGAACTTTTCATCTCCTACCCATGGTTCCTATCTAGAATGAGCAAAAGGCACCAGTCAGCTCTTAGTGACTAGTTTTAAGAGAATACAATACAGTCAATGTCCTACACACAATGGCGCCAAATTTTACTGATTGTTTCTACACAACAAAGGTATAAGATCCTCAATAAACAACTGCTATGCCTGAGTTTACAACACATTTATGTACTGAATTATGTTTTCCTAGACGCTAAAGTCCGAAGTCCCAGTACCTTTAACTGTACTGCTACTAGGAAATAGGGCCTTTGCAAATCACTAAGTCAATATGATGTTGTGTGTTGGCTCCATGGAAAGGGACAACTGGGATACACAGACAGGTGGCAGCAAAGAACACCATGCAGGCATAAAGACAGGGGCTGGGACAATGCATCAATAACCTGAACGCTGGGTTTCAATCCACCTCAAGAGCTAGCTGTACTAATCTTGGGCATATGCCAAAAGGATGCTCAATCATACGACAAAGACACTTGCTCAACTGTGTTTATAGCAGCGTTATTCATAATGGCCAGAATCTAGAAACAACCTAGATGCCCCTCAACTGAAGAATGGATAAGGAAATGTGGTACATCTACACAATGGAGTATTTCTCAGCTGTGAAAAACAATGACATCATAAAATTTGCAGGCAAATGGATAGAACTGGAAAAAAATTCCTGAGTGAGGTAACCCAGACTCAGATAGATAAGCTTGGCATATACTCACCCATAAGTGGATATTTGCTATAAAGTAAGGGATAACCATGCTATAATTCACAGCCCCAGATAGGCTAGGTAACAAGGAGGGTCCAAAGAGGGAAACACGGATTTTCCTGGGAAGGGGAAATAGAAGAGATCTCCTGGGTAAATTGGGTGAGGGGTTGGATGGGAACATGAGGGATTGGGTTGGGGAGGTAGGACAGAGGGGAGGAATTGATGAAAGAGATGTCTTGATAGTGCATGGAACATTTTGTAGTTAGGGAAAAACTTGGTGCCAGGGAAACTCTCAGGAAAGACTCCAGCTAAGACTCCTAAGCAATAGTAGAGAGGGCGCCCCAAACTGGTCTTACCCTGTACTCAGACTGGTGACCACCAATTGTCATCAGAGAGCCTTCATCCAGTAACTGATGGAAACAGATGCAGAGATCCACAGCACTGGGCCAAACTCCAGGAATCCTGTTGAAGAGAGGGAGGAAGGATTGTATGAGCTGGGGGCAGGAGGAGGGGTTCAAGGTCATAAGTGGGGAACCCACAGAAATAGCTAACCTGGGTTCCTGTGAGCTTACAGATTCTGGACAGCTAGGGAGTCTACATGGGATCAACCTAGGCCCTCCACATATATGTGATAGTTATATAGCTTGGTCTATTTGTGGTACTCCTAGCAGTGCGATCAGGGCCTGTCCCTAAGGCTTGGGCTGGTTTGGGGGAACCCATTCCTCGTACTGGTTGCCTCATCCAGTCTCAATCAAAGGGAGGAGCTTAGTCCTACCTCAACTTGATATGCCATGCTTTGTTGACACCTGTGAAAGGCCTGCCCCTTTCTGAACAGAAACAGAGACGGGAGAGGATGGGGGCACAGAGAGGAGGCAGTGGGAGGAAATGAGAGGAGAGGAAGGAGAAACTATGGCGGGCATGTAAAACAAATGAAAAAAATTTAATTAATAAAAATAATAAATAACCTGAAAATGCTGAAGATTACCAGTCAACTTCTAGAAGTGAGGAAACAGATCCTGAATTGGCTGCCTCAAAAGGGAGCAACCAACCTGGAATGCACTGTGATATCAGGCTTCTAAGATGCCCAGAGACCAATTCCGACTGTTCTAAGCTACACAATCTGTGGTGTCATGGAGGCCTTATGGCAGGTACAGGCACTGATTAGGGTTGCAAGGGTCAGCTAACTCCGCAGCTGCAGCTGGATAGAGGCATTTGTTATAGAACCATGGAACACAAGAAGACACTCATTCCAATTACCAGCTATGTGACTTCAAAGATCAAAGATGTATAGCTGCCTTGCTACAAAACAAAAACTAGAATCAGAGGGGATGATGAGCAGACTGTCCCACCACAAGGAAAGCAATAGTGTTTATTTGTATTTATATGTTTATAGTGTTTATATTTATATAAATTATATTTATATAATTATATAATTTATTTTTTATATATAAATATAAATAATATTATATAATATTATATAATTTATAAATATAAATTATATTTATATAAATATATAATTTTTATAATTATATAAATTATATTTATATTATATTATTTATAGTGTTTAGTTGTATTTATATGATACAAGCATGGAGAGATTGGTCAACACAGCACAGAATGAGGACACGACCATGAATTCTCAAGCATTTTTCTCTGTGAGTTGGGCGGCTGATTGTACAGAGCAAATCTAAACCTTGCTGGTGCAGAAACATAAGGGCCGGGGATGAGCACCCTTATTGTATCACTTATTTTTGACACACTCAGATGTGTGTCTAAGTTTGAAAACACTGCCTTGACAGCTTTTACAATGAT